TAAAGAAGTTGGTTACGTAAACAATTCGTTGAAATACTTTACCTGTCAGCCGCAGAGTGGCAAATGCTTAATTAGACTTCACGCCGCACAGCTGTGCTAGAGAAGTTGCCGCATGAGCACGGGTAACTTGCTGTCTGGCAAATGAGTGCAGCAGTGGCTCTGACCACATTGCAGAGCTCGCTGGGTGTGAGCTTGCAGTACAGTACGAACAGCCTCAATTTGCAAGACTACTTTATGCCACTTATGATGTGAGTACGCAAGATATTTTACTTTAAGGATGGATAGGTCTATTTCGAAGTGCCCGGAAGGCCTTTGAGAGGAGGGAAATGAGACAGCATCTCAAACGTTCATTCTTTCAGAACCCGCACCAAGAAAGGTGTTTCCATTAAATCGGGTAATCTGTTATCCTCCCATATTGCACGTAAGGTATATATATATTTATATACATTGTCATGTGTGCGGATGACTATTGACGAGGTATGGAATTGTAATGGATACACTGAACAATTATACGTACTCACAATTCGTTACTGTACTTCACAAATCACTATAACCCACACTAGGTCTTCTCAGCCTTCTGTAGCCGTTTTTCGGTAGCGGTTTCCAATGACGGAAGTTCCCCTCCCTCTGGGTTCCCGAACTATTCCCGGCCTCAGCTATCAGCTTCTAACAGAAACGGCCTCAGCGGTTCTCTAACTAGTAGTATAGTATATATATAATATTTTGCTTAAAATGACCGATACTATGACATCCCAGAATATTGTTCTTTCCTTCTGGGATACTCTGTATAAATACTACACCTTGTATATAATATAATCAGCAAGTTATCGTTGAAATTTAAAGAGGCAACAATATCTTAATTTTTAAAATATCATTTCGTAATATGAAGCCAAGATATTTTGAAGAAACAGCGAACTCTCTTGTGGCTCATAAACCTGGATTTGAGTGATTCGGAAGGCAGTGTGTCCCAGTGACATTTCCTTAAAGAATCTGGACGTTCATTTCCCAGGATAACTGATCGGTTGAGGGGAACAAATCGCTTGACCTTCTCATAAGTCAGCGTTGACACCCAAAGTGCGCCACTTTTTACAGGGATTTGTCAAACAACCCCGTTCCATAAGTCCATACCGAAAAAAGGTTGAACGAGATAATGATTACTTCAGCCTTCATAGATGTTAGGTCCGACATGTTACGTTACATGAGAAAGTGAATATCAAACAGGTGTCTACTTCATCAAATCTGATAGCCACATTCATCCCATTAAATCACTGCTTTAACATTACGAACATTAGCAGCTTGTCCGCGTACTGTATCTCTACAGGCACGTTCTGTACAGTTCCCAGCACAAGGAGCAATTGATTACCTAAAACAAATTCTGAGAGAGATGCATTATGTTTCTTGTGACGAAGGAACTGCATATCTGAATATTCTGCAGAAGAAATTTATGCTAAAAAGAGGGCAAAGTAATTTTGATTAAAATGAAGCAATTATAATTTAATAAAATATTGTTAAATATACTTTTTGCGAGAAAATCGTACTTCAAATATTTAACAGTTTTGTTGTCATCAAAGCGTAAAAATTATAGATTTAGTAAGTATGTTTGTATATCACTTAGGAATAAATTCATGCTTCAAATAGATAACTGTACTGTTGTCATCAAAATGTAATTATTATATTAGCGTCCATTGTTTATCTTCCGTAAAAATTGCAACACTTTTACATTCTACACTTCAACACTACATGTTTCGGCCTCAAACCGCCATCTTCAGGTGTTTTTGTGTTACAGATATTTTACTAAAACTGTATTAAAAAACTGCTACACTGTTTTAATTCGTGTTAAAATCACACGCTGTAGTGTAGCAGTTTTTAACACAGTTTTAGTAAAATATTTGTAACATAAACACACATGAAGATGGCCGTTTGGGGCCGAAACATGTAGTGTTGAAGTGTAGAATGTAAAAGTGTTACAATTTTGATGGAAGATAAACAATGGACGCTAATTTGAACAATTGTAACGGGATGCTGAAATATAGAATCGTAATTAATATAGCTTTAACAAATATGTTTAAATACTCGTATTATTTATAAACAAATTATTTCTTCGGATAATTAATTTTATTGTTTTCATCAAACCGTAAAGATTATAGCTTTTAAATTTAATTTATAAACACATTCGTGCTTCAAATAATTGACCGTATTGTTCTCAAACGGTACTGATTATAACTTCATTGGAAAACATTTAATATTATTTAGAATAAATTCATTCTTAAAATTATTACAGAAATTTTGTTATCGTTAGTAGCGTTTATAGATTTATAAAAAATTTAAAATATTATTTAGCGGTTCATACCATAAAGGATGAAGTGTATAGTTTTGTCATCAAATTCTAGAAAATTTAGTTCTACAAGTATTACACAGGCTATATTAAAATATTCTTGAGAATAAATTCGTACTTCGAGGCGTTAATTGTACTGTTGCCATTAAGAAGTAGTAACTGCATCTCTATTAGAGTGGTAATTGGTAAAAGTAAACTTTATTAAATGCGTACATCCTTAATTGCCGTGAAGCCACTGTAAGTTCAAGATGCATGAAAAATTTCTTTCCGTATTAAGGAATAAAATCAATTAAGCATAATTATTAGAACTATTAACATTACCGAGAAAACGTAAAGACATAAGATCTGAACTCTGTTGCTACGTAGCAGTCAAGAGTTCATAACAATTATACATATACCTGCCAGTAATTAATATCTATGTTTCAGTCAGTATTGAAGCTTGGGCTATTGATTATGCAAAACCTTAAATTAAATTTGTATTGGAGGCCTCTGTGGTCTAGTGATCAGTGTTCCTGGCTACAAATCCAGAGGTCTGGGTTCGATTCCAGGTGCTACCAGTTTTTTTCTGAGAGGTAGTGGGTCTGGAACGGGGTTCACTCAGCCTCGTGAGGATAATTGAGGAGCTATTTCAAGAAAATAGCGGCTCCGGTCTAGAAAATTGAAATTAACGGCCGTGGGAATTCGTTGCGCTGACCACGCGACACCCTCTATCCGCTAAGTTGGCACTAACTTCGCCGACAAGCGGCGGTCGCTCGGTCGGTATAGTTCGCTTGATGACTAAAGCCACGGAGTTCGTTAGTTCAGTTCGTTCGTTGGTGATTGCTTGTTCAGTGAAACCGTGATTTAACGGAGGCCTTTAAAAGTGGATCAATGGAAAGGGATTATATATGGAAACCGTGGCTGGAGATGGGAATTTATTGTTTTGAAGTTTCCCTCTCTTCCTTTCATTTAACATCATGCAGAATAATGTGTGGATGCATATTAATACAAGGGACGATTACAAAATGTACATAGTAAAGATGAAGTGTATTGTGATAATGTCCAACTAATAGCTACCAGTGGAATTTATGAAGCGTATACACGTACATCAGTTTCGCTTTTGTAGCTGGGAGTAACTAACTTAATCGACGACAAATACAGTTGGTCAAATTGTATTTGTGACGATGGTTGTTTTTTAAGTAACTTTTTCCCATTATCTCTAGATAACAGGACCACATAATGCCTAATATTAATGTTTTCTTACCCTCGAGTTTAGTATCTTCGTATACAAGGATTCAGGTGCCTTTCAGTCACATATCAGTGTGCTGAAGTTAGGTATTTTAAACGAAAGAAGCTTTCAGCAATTTACTTTTGAAATATCAACGGGATTTGTGCTGGATATTAATGAAGAAAGTGACATAAAATGGAAATAAATCTGATTCACTTTAAGCTATTTTGTCAGCAAGAAAGAAACATTTACTGGTACAAAAAATTTTCGTGTTTTAAATCAAAATTGACGAATGGTATGCCGCATTTCCAACATTGGAAATAACATCTTATCCACTTCGCCATTTTGTCCTACTTTCTTCTACACAAAAGCCCAATACTCACCTAACCCAATAGCCTACTACTTAATTTTATTTACTCAGTATACCTACATAAAGTGAATTCTATTTTTCAAGATAAATGCAAGCAACTGTTATGAAACTTCCATAGTCTTTAGCTACGCGGTAGTGTAGTTGGTTGAGGGGCTATGCTAAAAGCCGGAAGGTCGCGGGTTCTACTCCCGATGAGGTCATTGGATTTTTTCAATTGACCTAATTCTTCCAGCCGCACTATGGCCCTGGGGTTGACTCAGCCTCTAACAGAAATGAGTACCAGAAATTAATTAAATGATTTTCCTGGGGAGTAAAGCGCGGCCGGCGCGTAAGGCTGACAACCTTACCGCCATCTTTGAGTCGATTGTCTAGAAAATGTGGGACCCTCAACGTCTCACAACCCTAATGGCCTTCAAGGCCTGGTACAGGGATAGCTTTAATTTTACTTTTACTTTTTACATCTATTGTCAGGCATGTAAACTATTTCTGCTCTCAAACGGTCATGTTTTTACAGCCATCAATTTAGCTAAGCACATAGGAACCATAAAACGTCTATAACCGTCAAAGTAAGATAACGATTAAAAAATAATTACGATCACATGATCTCCAAAGATTGGACAGTTTCTAATTATCGGGCTTACCAACGATGTACCGACAGTTCACTGTTTTCTGTTTCGTCTTCCTACAATTCCATATTCCCTTTCTACGTTTATTGTCATCACTCATCATCATTAATTTATACTTTGAGTCACATCATAGCTCAAGCGGTTAGTAGCTGGCTTCCCACCGCGGCGGCCCGGGTTCGATCTCGGGTCTTGTCAAATGGGATTTCTGGTGGACAACGTGGCCCTGGGGCGGGTTTTCTCCGAGTACTGCGGTTTCCCGTGCCAATCTTCATTCCACCAAATTCTCCATCATCATAATCACCCGGTGCAGGCTACAATAGGCCAATCAGTGGCCGCCGTGCCGAGTGGACCCAGTTGGACTCTACCCCCCACCAACGAGCATATCCTGAGTAAAAACGTATGACGTTGCCACTACTCAGCCTGTTCGGTCCAGACGTGTAAATTGAGTCTCTTGTTTCACAGGTGGAGAAAGGCGACCATGGAGCAGCAGTTGAGGAGCCTGTCAGTTATGTTGATGGCAGCGCTGCTGATGCCAATAGCGGTGCCAGCGTGCCGTATATCAGAGTTCCCTTGCCGTAATGGCCGCTGCATCAGGCTGGACCGATACTGTGATGGAGTCGACGACTGTGGAGATAAATCGGACGAACCGCGCTACTGTACCGGTAAACACATTCACTTTATCGAGAGGTCACAAAAAATAGGCAAAGAAGATTAAAATTTCGAAAACAATAACAAAAAGGTGTATATGCATTGTATATATATATATATATATGAGGGAGAGTCAGTAAATAGGTCACAAATGAAAGTAAAACACCTGTAATGGACGAAATGGATTTTCTGTTTGTATCACTAGGTAGCAGCACAGTCTAGCTTCATGACAGTTTAGGGAGCAGACACGCATGCGCATGTTCAGAGGTTGGTATCAGTAGTCAAAATGGCGACCGTGTTTGAAGAGTATACTACCGAAGAGTAGTGTTCTCTTTGCGATTTCTATGAGCAAAATGACTTATTCCAAAGGATATTAAAAATATTTCCTGTTAACAGTGGGAGAGTTTGTAAAGCAATTCACAACTGGGTCGAAGAATTCTCTCAAGGACGTTCGAAAGTCGCAAATGATGCCAGACCAGGCGATTAAGTATTTCTTTTATTGCTAGTGGGGTGGGACTAAGTTCCTCGTACTGCGGCCACTTCTGACCTATTGTACCAGCCCCAGATGATAGGTGAGAGTGATTGTGAGCAATTGGTTGAATGAATATTGGCAGGGGAAACCGAAGTACTCGGAAAAACCTGCCCCAGCTCCACTTTGTCCACCACAAATACCATTTGACCGGGATCGAACACGGGCCGCCGCCGTGGGAAGCCAGCGACTAACCGCTTGAGCTGTGGTGCGACCCGGGTTATGAAGTACCTGAGACAACAGTAAAAACTTCTATTCTGCCGGTTTCGACGCACTGGTAAAACGGCGAGGAAAGTGCATCAGTTTTGGTAGAGGATATGTCCAGAAATGAATGCTTTCCAGTTTCGAATATCACATGTTTTACATATTATATCCATTTGTGACCTATTTACTGACTACATAGTACGTATATACATATATATATACACGCACACATTAGCAATGCTGAAAAGGGAATTACATTTGTAAATGTGGACAAGTTATCTCGCAGTGCTTCGATGTGAGCAATGTTACATTTGATGTGAAAGTTCGCTCATGCATGGCGGGTGAACCTCATTCACACCCTTTTCATTACGATTACCTTCAGAACACGTAAGGGGCTTGGCGTAAATCACAGATCAGAGTTATGATGTCAAATACTAAAGATACCTCTCTTAAATTTCCAGCCTTGTGAGTACTTTATACCATAGCTACTCGTATGCATTGGGTAAAATGAACAGGGGCAACTTTACACCTTTTACCTATAACGAAACAATGCTGTTACATAAGGGATTGGTGAAAAATTGGCTCCTCCGATAAGCATTCATGCCTAGGAGGAACAAAGCAAGCATGGATGCACATAGCCAATACGTTCAAAATGCTAATTCTGTTTCCAGGTCTCCTAAACGCCGTGTAAAACAGATAGGGGGTAGTTTACAGACTTCAATTGCCTCAGCTAGAGGTGGTGCTGCAAGGGTGAACTAATATATTTTCTGCGTGCACCCCTGCTCGCCTACCAACTCCTCCACATTTCCCTACAAATTAAGTTTGCAATTATTGAGCGTTGAATTTGCTTTACTGCATGTTAGCCGTCCGCGTAAATTACACAGCCGAAGTGAGTGAGGGGGAATAGGGTTACCTTAATTCTCCTGACAGGCGCTAGGAGTGCTGTGATAGCAAACCGATAGGTTTCTTCTTCAACTTGTATAATGTGAGAATAATTGATGTGTAGAGCGAAGTAGTAACAAGTTTTGAGAAAACATTAAATAATTCTTTATTTACTTTTATTTATCTAGATGCTGCAAGTCGCGTATCCTGTTAACGTCTGGTTGTTGAGGTGTTTGTTCCAAACCGATTTTCTTAAATTTATATATTATTATTATTATTTACTTTAAAGTATATTCGAGTTATACCTCCACAACACCTACGTCTTCATGGCCTTGTGACTGATTAATTAAACTCCGTGGCCTGTAGTCCGTAAGCGAACTATACCGACAGAGCGACCGCCGTTTGTCGGCGAAGGTAGTGCTAACTGTAGGGGATAGAGTGTGTCGCGTGGTTAGCGGAACGAATCCCCACGACCGTTAATTTCGGTTTTCTAGACCGGTCATAATTAATTAAACACAGAGACAAATTTACCTTACATATTTCCTGCCTGTACATTCTCATTTTTAAAATTTTTAGTTTTCCTTACTCGAATTTCTATTTAAATAAATATTTTCTCTGTCCCTCAGACAACTCTTATTAGGAAAAGGTGTAATTAATTAATTAATTAATTACCACGCCATGATCTGATGTATGGGAATGGAGGTACATCTCCACCATTTCTAACCTGAAATACCTGAGTGGTATGCTTCATCTCCCTGCTGCTTTACCTTTGGGAAAAAGGCATCCTGTTACCCATTGACTACAGGGTTGGGTGGGCCCCGTAGCCGGTCTGGACGATGTTGGTAAGAGAAAAACTCTTGCCCATTCTAGGAATCGAACACCTGCCTTCCAACCCACAACCAGTCTTTCCCTTTGAGTACAGTTTAATAAAATACGCTCAAGGCTTCATAGTCCGGCATAAGAAATGATACCGAACTACCGGAAATGAGACTAAAATTCACTTTGAATAGGGATAAATCAGTAAGGAGAAGGATTAGAGGCTGCTTCGAAACGTCAACTGACTTTAACAGAATACACGGTGTTACATTCCAGAAGATATTACTCTTCAATCCGTAATAATTCTGACATTCTCACTAATTTTTATTATTAATCTCTAGAATATAAATAGTTTTCGGAAGGAGGGGATTGTATGTTCCGTGTTTATCGCAAACTTTTGTTTCAAGCACTTTTTTGCACTGATAAATACGTAATGAGATGCGCTAGAGTTAAACTGAGAATGCGCGAAACCACACATGTAAAACATCATGCAAAATGTTCATTATTTTTGTCCTATTTTAAGCGTGAATCAAAATCATCCAGACATTTCTGTTAAACTTAGCTTGCTTCTTGCTTCATGCTGGTTTCTAGACTCTCTTACTCATAAAAAATGAAGAGAATGGCGATATGTTCCGAAACGTCGGTTGACTTTCACCGGACCACACTGCGTTATATCCTAAGAGAGAGGTTTCTTTACATTTACCGGTGTGAGAATCTCAAGCTGAGCACAAATTCAGTTGTCCATTATGGTCACTCCTTGTAAATGGCCATCTACAATTATCACAATTCCTCAATAAACTCACAAGCAGACACAATTCGGTTTGTCGGACGTCTCCCACTTATTTCTTACTCCGAAAACGTTTTTGCACTTGCACGATTTACAACATATGCTGACCCGTCTTCCATTATTATTGTATATTTTGGTAAAAAGTTAAAGGTAAAAAGTAAAATTGTCCTTGTGCTTAACTAATTAAACACTATGTAAGATTTGAGGCCTTCGCGGCGGTGACTATGAAGAAAGCAGTCTTCTGGGATTTGGCACCGTGTATATGTGGTGTTAACCGAAGTTTCGGAGGAACGTATCGCCTCCATCTTCAGGTTAGAAGAAAAATATAAGAAATCCGCAAGCGAAGAGACCGTGATAACCGGTAAAGNCGCTTTATCCCCGGGAAAATTTTCCCGGTAACCACTGGATAGGAGGTTGGGTGGACCCCAGAGCCGGTCTGGACAACGTGGAGAAGAGGAAATTCTTGCCCCTTCCGAGACTCGAACTCCAATCTCTCCGCGTCCGGCCCGTAGCCAGTAGCCATACCGACTGCGCTACTGGTGTGAATTCAAAAATATTTTCTTATGGTACCGTCTTCTTCTCTGTAACACCGAGTACAGCATCCATCTTCAGTGTTGAAGAATAAGCCAAAAAGAAACCATAAGAAGTAGGTGATAAACAAAAGCTCCTCTGAAACGTCGGACTTTCTCCGAAATACACGGCGTTACAATCCATAAGATCGTGACCTTTATAGCCACCGCCGTGTTAACTTCACATCCAGCATTGTGTTATGATTGGTATTTCGCTCGTTTACGAACCAATTACACCTCATTAAATGTGTACATGTATCACTGGTTCTCGTTGCAATTCAGCAAACACGAGACTGCAGTTGGACACGTGGTAAAATTGTATTCATCTTCACACCGGATGAATAAACGACGTTCTAACATGACTTTCATCTGTAGCAGAAACCCACTAATTCGTTCATATTATGCTCTTAAAGTTCACTATCTAGTCTTAACTCATTCTTATCTAATGTAAAGCTATCCCTGTAACAGGCTGTGAAGGTACATTGGGTTGTGAGACGTCGAGGTTCTCACATTTTCTAGGCAGTTGGCTCACAGATTGCGGTGAGGTTCTCAGCCTTACACGCCGGCCGCCCTTTAAGCCCCAGGAAGGTTCCTGTTACTCATTTCTGTTAGAGGCTGAGTCGACCCCAGGGCCATAGTGCGGCTGGAAGGATTAGGTGAATTAAAATATCCAATGACCTCATCAGGAATTGATCCCACGACCTTCAGGCTTGTGGCATTGTGCCTCAACCAACTACATGTGTAGGAAAATATGTATGTCGGACCACACAAAGCCGGTATGAATGTGAGATTCTTCATATGTTTTTTTTTTTTACCTGATATCGAAGAATAATACTGACTCGTAATTCTATTTCTGGATAAACAGTGGTTGAACAATGAAGACTGTACATCTGAAACCGTCAAATGGAAGCATAACCCACGGTAATTTAGCCATAAACCGACAAAAAAAAAAGGAGTGTGTGAACACACTGCATCCGAATTTATTGTTATATACACAGGATGTGTGGAAAGAGGCTTACATCCACAATATACCATTTGTTCCATTTAGTACAATGACTGAATCATTTCACCCTCTCCGGATATGAGACGTAATATGAAATGGTTTATATTGGCGCGTGTACATAATCTGGTGCTCAACTTACATTGATTTCCAGAACTGGAAGTTGTTCTGGTGGAGACAAATCGCTGTTCACGCACTTCACGAATTGGAACTGAATCATAACCATT